ACAGAAATAGACAAAAAAAAAAAAAAAAAAAAAAAAGAGGGAAGAAGATGAAGATAAAGTGAAAAGAAAGAAGAATTTGCAAGAGGATGGAATGAAATTCAATAGATTTCGATTATTCCGATGTGGGAGAAACGAGATGAAGAAGAAATAGAAGAAAAAGCTAAAAAATAAAAAATGCTTTAAAAAAAAAGAAAGAAAGGAAGAAAAAAAAGCAGTTTGCTTTTAATGTTTGTAATGATTTCCAGCAGATATCTAACTTTCATTAAATCTCATTTAAAGTTAAAAGTCTTGAAGGATGAAAATTGAAAAATTGGTGAAAATTAATGAGTGATAAGCACAAAACTAATACTTTCGTGAGCATTCATGCAGGTATGAATGCATACAGAGGCGCGTATGTTTCTTTTAGTGGCGCCTTTGCAAATCGATTTTTAAAATCAAATTTATTAAATTCAATGATTTTTTTCCGCTACTTATTGATTACTATTAAAATTCAATATTCTCTTCAATTTCATTTTCATTCCATGCAAACAATTTAATGTTTTATTTTAAATTTTCATTTTCAAAAGTATTGTGAGTGATAATAAGTTGTTTTCGATAAAGAAGTGAATACTTTTTTTGCTTATCGCTAAGATGAAATAAAATTTTTTATTTCGACAGAGAAAAAACAAATAGGAATAAAATTATATCAAACAGAATGTTGAATATATTTAATATGAAATTACTAAATGAAATAAATTAGTTGTAAGAATATAATATGAACGAGTAAGGAGCCAAGAGCCAAAAGCCAAGAGCCAAGGAGAAATGGCTGGAAATCATTCAAATGTTTTGATTTAATTATTGAAAAGTTTTAAGAAATTTGAATGGATTTGTGGTAATAGAAAAGAAATGAGGAAGATGATGGGATGATGGGAAAAAGATAAGTGGAAAAGAAATAGTAATGTTTGAATAGTCATCATGTTAGTCTATCTATTTAACTAGTTAGTTTCTGAAGAGCTGATAGTAATCGGTAAGTTTAAGAGGGTTAGCTTGTGCTAATGATAGAAAAGAAGAGCTAAAGAATTGAAGCAAAGGTGCTAACAGGATCGAAAGATCTCCCCTCCCATACCGCTAATAATGTTGTTGTTGTTGTTGTTTTTATTTTGAAGTATAATAGTGAAGTTAAGTCAGGTAGTGTTTTTAGCTTGGAAAAGGGCTTGTAGTGTTGTTTGCTCTTATCACAACAGCTTCATGGAAAGTCATTAAAATACAACTAAAATTCACATATGATTATCCTCTTATCACAACAGCTTCATGGAGGGTCATTAAAATACAACTAGAATTCACATATGATTATCGATGATGCTGATTGGTAATGTTGATGATAGCGGCAATAATGATATTGATGACGAGATATTGATGATGTTGATGATAAGGCAATAATAATTGACGATAAGATGCCGGTAATGTTAATGATAGCAATGATTATAATATTGATGGTAAAATGTTGGTAATGTTGACGATAATAGCGATAATGATATTGATTATGGGATGATGGTAGTATTAATGATGATTGCTGTCAACTCTACATTTCAGGTTAGCAAATCGGGACTGTTCAAACAAAGTTATTCCAAAATGATCTCATTAAAATGCAAATTTTTAACTTATTCTTCTAATGTCAAGTTGAATTGGAAATGTCTTTGTACAGAAAAGTTTCACATTTTAGTGCGTAGTATAGGAAGAACCTTATAAAGCGCGTGAAAATTTAAGTCCGAAAAACAAATGGTCAAAACATAATTGCAGCATTATGTTGAAATTACTTTAAAATCAAAATATAAATTGAAGTTAATTTTTGGAAAAAACAAATTCAACCATTATAAGAAATAATTATAAATCTTGAACTGATATTTGAATAATTCATAAAATCCGGATTTTTCAGCTTACACAACTTAAATTTTCACTTTCTCTTGTAGCCTAACCATCAGATGAGTAGAAACATGATAATTAATACTGTTATTTCAGTAATTGCATTATTCTCAATCATTTTCTTGTTTCAGGAAGTGTTGGCAAGAGTTTTTTTTCAACTTTGACAGCAATTGATTAATTAATATTTATGCTTCATAATTTCCCTTTGCATTTCCAGATTTTGATTTGAAATTGAATCTTAAATACGAAAATACCAGAATAACAAGATTTTTCAATAATTATAATTTTTAGGACAGAAATTTTGGCTAATATTTTTAAAACTTTCACGACTTATCTTAACTATTAATGAATTTATGGAATCTATTTGGTTGTCCCATTCTTTGGTATATTTACTCTGTCCTATAGACATCTGCATCATCTTGATGATATTATCACTCCACATTAGTCTACTAAGCTGATCTTCTTACTTTACTTTTTAAATTATTGTGTTAAATTTTAACTGGTCCTACTACTTATATTAAAGAAATTATCATCATTCGTCTGTCTTATTAAAATTATTCAATGATGATAAACTCAGTAATAACTAATATCCATAAAATGGTTCGATCATGTTGTTTGGTGTTGCAGTAAGTTGGACAAGTTATTCATCTGTTTCAGTCGATAATGGCCAGAAAGGATACCACTTTAATTTCATGTTCGAATTTGCTATCCTAGCAAAGAGAATTGGAAATTTTGCCTGATAATTGGTCTAGAAGATGGAAAATAAGTTTAATATACTTCTAATCCTCTTTTTATTTTTTGCTCATTTTTCAATATTTTTATTTATCTTTTTTTTCCACTTGCAGTTTGTATTTCTTACATGTCATTGAACTTTAAAATTTTTAATTGAAAAGAAATTTTAATCAGTAATTATGCGATCGAAAAACAACAGTTCTGTTAACGGTACTGCTTTTAGGAAGAATTTGTTACATGCTATTGTCACATGTCATTGAAGAATTTTTTTGAAAAAAAAGGGGAGAGAAAAGGAATGGTATAAAGAAATGATAAGTTTGCTTGAATTGATTAACAAATGTTTTAAATAAATTTAAAATTAAAATTCGAAATTAGATTTCCTGCAGAAGTCAATGAAAATCAGTAGCATGTGCAGAAACAACTGTTATCGGTGAAGATTTGAAATAATAACAGCCGTGCATCGAATGCAGAGGTCATTTTAAATTTGAAAAATTGATCAATTAACTTCATTCATATATTTTGAACTTTGTCTCTGATAAAAATCTGATAGTAAGGGGAAAAAGAAAAATTAAAACTTCTGCATAGAATTCAATTACAGCCAAAGATTTCGAGTCAGTGATAGTTCCTCTGAATCGAATGAAACGATGTATTTTATAAAATTGATTTATAGTTGTTCCAATTGCGCACGATTCTCTTTAGGTAACGATGAATATCCTGTTAAATTATACCTTGGAAGCTAATTTATTGCATTTACATTTTGTTGTGTCACTTATAATTTTGTTGCCGAACAATATTTGACGTCACAATTAGTATAAGCTCGTTAATGTCTAATTAAAACTTATTTAATGCGAAATGTCACCCTCAAATGACAATGAGTCATTAGCATACCATTGCTCCGCGGGAAATCAACTGTAAAACAATCATTTATTAGTTACTGCTACTAACATTATAGCAAATGGGAATCATAAAGATGAGAAATAAGAAGGAAAGTAGAATTTGAACATCAGGGTGTATTCCGAAGTGTGACAATCCGGTTCCGTTCCAGGTATGCGTCCGTTAGCTCTCTTTGCCCATTTTGCAATATCACTTTGTTTCCTTGACTCGTTTGTTACTTTTTTTTCAAAAAATGCCAGTATAGAATTTCGTTAACTTGCACTGACTTCCTCTTCATTCAATTTTCCAGTTTCTTTTGCAAGTATTGAACTCTTACCGGTACCCGCCTACCTTGATTCTACCCGAGGGCATATATATATGTATAATGCTATTTGAAATTTATAAGCAAAGAAGCAACGATTACCTGGTTGGACGAGATATTTACTGTAGAGGTGAAATGACGACTGCTGCTCATTCTGCTGCTTATTCGGCCATTGGTCTATCACTTTTAAGTTTCATCATTTGCATCTACTCATTAAAAGGTCTAGCGTCCAGAATTAGTTCTATCAATGACGAGATTATTGAAGAAGCGAAGGAATTCCGTGGAATGGAAAGTCATATTCGGTAATTTTATCATTTCTCATCAACTGTTAACGATTAATTGATTAACTTTTTTTGTTGATTTGCAAAAATTATCTGTGATCTATCAATTTTCCAATTAATTATTACCTAAATAACAATGAACAGTATAATATTACATATTCTAATCCTTCTTTACGACAAAATAAAAATTTCTTACACTCTCACGAAACTTTTATGCCTGCGCAAAATAAGTCAGAAAGTAATGAAAAATTTTTGAAATACTGTAAAGTGCTTGTGTGTGATATGGTATAATATGATGTGATATGGTAAACAATTTGACAGAACAAAATTAATGATAATGAGACGCTGGATTAGGATGAAAATGGAGTAAAACTGTTGTATGAGATCAAATTAGTAAAACGAAACTTTCGTCTATAATTTGCTGAAATTTCGTGAGTTTTAAGCTTTGATTTATTAAAATTTTGAAAAATTTAATGAATAAATGCATATTTTCAATCCTTGAATTCGACTAGCAATATTTTTATAGAGGTGAATATCGTTACAAGATGGCTTCATCTAGCTTTGCCAAAATCAGGGTTGCAAGGCAAGCTCCCCTATGTCAATGTAATCCTAACAACCAATGTCCACCTGGACCTCCAGGACCACCTGGTCTAAATGGAGAAGACGGAACACCTGGTAAAGCAGTCATACAATATTGATAAAGATTTCTGTACTTTTAATTAAGATTTGTTAAAAGTTACAAAATCTTTGTATTAAGATCTTTAATACTCTAAGCATTAGATGTTTAATTCTATTATTTGTTATTTGCAGGTCTCCCGGGACCAGCTGGTGCACCAGGTCTTCCTGGTAACATGCCAGCCATTAATTATAATTATGAAGGACGTTGTCGTTCGTGTCCACACGGACCACCAGGACCACCAGGACCACCAGGGCAACCAGGGCGACCAGGTAGTAACGGATTACGAGGACCAGCTGGAAATCGTGGATCAGCTGGTAGCAGAGGATCACCAGGTCCACCTGGTTCACCAGGAGAAGCAGCAATGCCTGGTCGTCCAGGTGAACCAGGAATACCTGCCCTTCCTGGACCACAGGGTGGAAAAGGGTTACCTGGACCACATGGATCACCAGGACAGCCTGGACCACCTGGTCCTCCGGGACAACCAGGTTTACCAGGAAGCCAAGGATCACAGGGACGTCAAGGGTCACAGGGACCACCAGGACAAACTGGCGCAGATGGACAACCTGGTTCACCTGGTTCAAGAGGAACACCTGGAACTCCTGGGGAGGACGCTGCCTATTGCCCATGTCCACGCCGACGTGTTGCCGTGTCATTGCAGAAAGCCTGAACAATTGGTTTTTATTTTGTTTACAAAGCTATGCTGTGGTAATGAATTAAATGAATTATCCGTTGTACTCACTTTGCTAAAAGTATGATTTAAAAAAAAATTGGGGAAGAAAAAGAAGCCTTGGAATTGGTTATGGGCGATAGCCCAGCATATTTTGTATTAAATCAAACTGAATTTTGTGCTTTAAATTAAATTATTCCATAAGAAATTGGTGACGAATAATTTAGAAACTGTAATTTGAAATTTCTGAATCAATCAATTGGCATATTTGTTTCGTCCACAAATTACACACTTGCTTGAGTTAATGTTAGACTTAATGTTCTCATTAAGCTCTAAAATCCCTTATCAAGCCCGATTTCTGCATTTACTTATTGTTCACCTTGAAATATGATCTCAACACCTGAGCGATGTTTTGCAAAAATTAAAATAAGCTCAGAGATAAAGGATTTCTTAATATCAGTGATAAAATGAATCACCTCAGTCGTTGATAATATGCTTTAAATAAATGGTCATCAAAAATGACAACTGCTTTTGTTGTCATTAATTGCCAAATTTAAATTGAGCTGCATCGAAATTCTCTTCTGGAAAGTATCCCTCACACTGATAAAATTCGTAGTTTATAAAATTTGAAAGTTGTTTGTTTTTAACTTCAAACTTTTAAATACGTTTTTGCATAATTATTGTTTGCTGTAAATGCTTGTGAAGAGAAAATTCTGCGATGCATTAGATGATTGAACTTTCACATTACTCCACTGCATCCATTTAAATAATGAAACAAGTTATCCAAGCAGTGATTAAAGAAGAATTCGATTATCCTTAGACTGATTAGCATATTGTTTTCTTGGATTTCTACTTAAATAAAATCATTCCCGACAAGCTACCAACAATTTATATCTTTGATGAAAGAAAATTTGAAAAAAATCTTAGACATTAATTATTAATCACATTAATTATTGCTAAATATAGCGCTTATAATTCGTACAAAATATAACATATACATTTATAATGTAGCATATCCGTTACAATCAAATTTTTCCCTTTCAAAAGTATTAAAATTTCAAAATTTTTTAAAAAAATTTCAAGATGAGAAATTTTTTACACCTTGTGCTGTTTAATCATTCCAACATTTCATGTCACCATTCTGTCACCCTTCTCCAATTTCGCAAATTTATATTTGTTTCAGGATGAGGTGATGGGGGAAGATTAAAGATTGTAAATATTTTAAAAGAGATAAATAAATGAGACTAACAACTAAGGCAGAAAAATCATTGCGCTACAATGGGATACAGTTATCAATTAAAAATTTTAGTTTTTGCATGTTAGTTCGATGAAGTGACACTGGTGACAATTTTATTACCCAATTTGTTGTTTACATAGTTGGTAGGCTCCCTTAATATCAATAGAATTATTGCAATTGACATTTATTTACAGTGACCAACGGTCATTCATCATTGAATGTTTGATTTTTCATTTCATCTGTTTATTATTTAATTTATTTACATAAACAAATTAATTCCTCATTACATTTTCATTAGATGACAGCGACAGTGGTGATAAGGAAATGATCACAGCTTGATTAATTACTTCACCCTTTCTCCCTCCTTCTTTTTTTTCCCTCTCTCTCCCTCTCTCTGTAAACGTGACACTCAAGATAAAAATGTAGTAGTTTAAAAAAAAAGTGCATCATTAGCTGAAATGAGTAGTGATAAAAAAGAAAAGCACAGTGAAAATATAAAGCAATTAATTTAAACTACTAATTATAGCAAATGTTAGATGCAATGATGAGATAATGATAATTAAAATACCAAAATAGAAAGTCAAAGAGAAGGTCGGGTTAATTGAAGGTCAATAAGGTCATAGTTAATTCTTAATATCCCTTTTTTGCAATAATTAGCAGCTTTAAATGATTATATCAATCAAAATTAGCGCGATACTCCTCAACTGCTTACCTTTGGCCACATTATTTGTCACCGAATGTTTCACAAGAATGTGTCATCTATGTTTGCAAGTAATCATTGATGTCATACATGAATTAAATGACAGTAAGGCTTATTTGTTCATTTTACTTTCAGCATTGCTTACTAAAATTTTTTTTGATATCAATGAACTTTAAAAAAGTACACTTTTAGAGATATTCAGTTAATAGAAGCTTCTTCTTCTCAATTAATTAAAATTAAACTATGTGATAAAGTGATCAAATTACTGACTTTTCTCTTTCATCCTAAGTTTGAAATACTGAAAATATTGCGTATTTATCATATTGTATCATTGAGATAGAACGTAGATTTTCAAGTGAAAAGAATTTCTTCACAGAAAGATTCTTATCATCCTCTATTCAAAGCAACAGATCGATGGGGAAATGTTGTACGGTCTATGGGATGGATATGAGATTACCAAGCACGTGTGAGTGATAAAACTGAATTATCAGTTTAAATTGAATTTTATTGAAGA